ACGAATATTTATGACAACATATCATGATCATATATGGTTCCAAACGGCATTATATGACCTCGAGATGTATCCTCTAAAATATTATTACTTTTCTACATCGGGCCCCGAAACCTCCAAAATTTCTCAAAAATCGTGGATATTAGCCTTCAATTTTGAAATTTTTTGATTTTTTTTTCGCCCGGAAATAAATATTGTCGAAATGTTTACCATGCTCCCTAATATCCTCTGGGAGTCCAATTGGGTGGGTGGAACCATACAATTTGCCTTTAAACGACCAATTTACCGGTTTGACTCAAACTCGAGAATGACCCGACCTAATTTTAACCCGCAAAGTATTGACTTGAACTGAACCTGACTCAAACCCAAGAATTACCCTAACCCGTTTTAACCCGTGAAAACCCGAATTAAACCCGACCTATTGTTCACCCTACACGAATTTAACCCGATCTGTTTTTAACCCGACCTGAACCATATAAGATGTATGACTCGACGTGACTCGACCCAAGCATGACCAACCCAAACCCAAGCATCACCTTAAATGCAATTTAGACCACCTTATTATTGTTGATCAAAGCATTTTGTCTAGGGAGACCAAGTCGGTCCAGGCTAGCAAAAGAAAGGAGCACTATCCTCAAATTTAAGTGTTAAATATAATATGTATTTGTTGTGTGGTTAAAGGAGATAATTGTCTTCCTAAATTATAGACTATATAGTTCCCTAGTATTTTCCATATTTATTATAGTCAAAGGAAATAATTAGTTTGATAAAAATGATAATTATCTATTTATAATTAGTTGAACCCGAATATGACCTAACATGGAAATGACCCGACCTGATTGTAACCTGCAAATTATTGACTAGAACATAACTCGACTTGAATCTGATAATGACTTGACTTGGAAATGACCCAACCTGATTATAACCCGCAAATTATTGACTTGAACCTAACCCGTCTTGAACCCGAGAATGACCTGACTTGATTATAATCCGCAAATTATTGACTTGAACCGACTCCGACTCAAACTCGAGAATGACCCGACGTGATTCTAACCCACAAATTATTGACTTGAACCGAACCTGACTCAAACCCGAGAATTACCCTAACCCGTTTTAACCCGTGAAAACCCGAATTAAACCCGACCTATTGTTCACCCGACCCGAATTTAACCCGATCTGTTTTGAACCCGACCTAAACCTTATAAGAAGTATGACTCGACGTGACCCGACCCAAGCATGACCAACCCAAACCCGACCCGCTTAGGTTATGAAATTAATCTTAATTAATCTGACCCGAGTTGACCCGACCCACTCTTATCCGACCCAAACCCAACCCATTTACTCGAATTGACAGCTCTACATACGACCACCCAACACAGTACATCCATGTTTAATGATTGAACATATACGTTCGGGTCTAATTGCAAAACATCATAAAATAACATCTGTAATTATTTACACTAATTATATACACTAGGCTCAATGGCTCAACAATACTTAAGCCAGTTAGAACAATAGCCAGGCCAGAAAGGCTAGATGCTCGTATATTTTAGGTCTAACCAATTTATTGTGATTTATAATGACAATACAACATAATTATTGAAATAATTTACAAAGCAATTAATCTTTATTTTGAAGTGACATTGCCTACAAATTATAAATATAATTTAGTGCACTACTAATTTTAGAAATAACAAAAGCAGCCACAAACAGCTATAATGTTCCCTACTCATTTCCTCATTAATTTATGTCCGACATTAAAGCTTAGGTAGGACTTGTGAAAAATCAGTGACTTAAATAAATAAATAAATACATTATTTTTATTTGACAAGATAAATAAATAGAATAAAATAAAATAAAATAATTGAACAATCTCTTTCTTACTAAAAAGTCCTAAAACATAAACTCGTGAATGAGCAATAATGAAATGAAGCTAGCTTATTTATGCATGGTTTGGTTTATTTGCTGCATATTTCTCAGACGCATGCAATTATATGCATGTATAAAGTGAGAGACGCCACCCTAGCTATGACCTAAGTGCTAACCCTATATACCTACTTATATTTATAATTAATACTATAGTATAACATAACAGTCTATATTATCAGACCTTAGGTTTATTAATTATATTACATGAATATTGAATATGCAAAAGCTAACGGTTTCTGAATTTTATGGAGTTTTTTCTGTGCTAAGGATAAAAGTCATACAAGAAAAGTTTATTTAAGTTATAAGCATGCATTATACAAGGACAAGGATAAAAGGAACTTTTAAGTTTTGTTGATGAGACAAAATGACAAAACTATATATAGCATCCAAGATAGACCCGAAATTTATGTTGATCATCTCTACACATTTTGCAAACATCAGAGTCAATGCTGTTTGATAGTGATAGTGCAAATGTTTCTGTACTACTTTTCAAGTCTCATTTATAAGTAAGAGCTTTGAATTCATCGTCGAGATGTACTGTATCGAATGTAGTCCGTATGACTTTGTTCATTTTATCTAAATGAAAGTAATTTTTGGGAAAATAAGTTCAAGTAGAAAGTCAGTAAGTTCTGAATTGAGTTTCCGAGCTTTAAAACAAGTAGGAAAATTCGAGTGAAAATAACAAAACATATATAATCAAAACGGTATTATGTGAAATAGCGACGTTAGGAGTTCTTTGGTGTATTATATGACCACGTAGGGAGAAGTACAATATTTTAGGAAATTCATGTGCTATAGTTTGATGGGCTTGATCCATCGCATTTTGTAGAGTACAACAAGTCCCTGGTAGTAGGGACATTATCACATGATTATGTAGGCTATTGGAGGATTAATCTCTTGACTGAGACTACTAAACATACCATAATATGGGCCTAAATTCTTGAACCATAACCTTTTTAATCATAAGTCCACTAGTGATTATTTTTTATAAGCACGTATTTTAAGTGGCCTTATTAGAAGAGAACATTTAAGTATATTCTCTATCACCTTTGTACTTCATACATAGAATCGTTGTTGAGGTGAGTTGTGAGATTAAAATTTTCATTTTGAAGAGGTTTCAATTAAATAAAATTAACTTTATTTCAAAATAAATTTTAATCTTAACTTCAAAAATAATTTCAAATTTTAGAAGGTATAATGTCTCGTATCTGGTCTGTCCATCCCCAATGTTTCATCATCAAATGCTCATTCAATAATTTATACAACCACATGTATCTACCTCTAGAGAAAAGCTACACTTGAGCTCATTCACTATGCTTATTTAAAAAATAGACAAAAATAAATGTTAGATTTAATTTAGTTTGAAATGAGCAATAAATACCTCTATGACTACCTTCATTCGATTCCAATATCTTGATTGAAAATGTAGCTAAGAACCTATTCTCTTCAGCTTATTTTCAATTCAGTTTAGTTCAGCTCCAATCAATTCATTTTAGTTTCTAATTTCCTTTTCTCATAAATTTCCTTTTCTCATAAAACATTGAGTTCAATTTTAGTTCATTTCAGCTCCAATCAATTTAGTTCAGTTCAGTAAATCAAAATAGAGCCTAATGCCCTAATTGTTTATGCCAATTGCTCTTTGTGTCTTTCTATATATAAAAAAAATGCATATATATATATATATATATGTATAAACCTTAATACGAGTATTTATAAAGGGGAAACATCAAGCCCACATTTATGTAAGGCCAGACTACTTCATTTCCCTTTCTTTGAATCTATTAGCAATCTAAATTCACTAATTGTTTGTTTACGAATCGCGAGCTTATATACAATAGTTATATGTAAGGTTAAAAGAATTTGGAAATTGAATTTTCTATTATTATAGTGGATTTTGGAAATTAATCTAAACAATCCATTACGTATATTAATTCAGTCCTTTGAATATTTGATTAATCTATTTGTCTAAGTTGTTTTAAAAAAAAAAATTATTTGTCTAAGTAATAAAATTGAATGGTTCCTTATCCCCATCCTAGTGGTGGAGCTGCATACATTACCACTTAAAAACAAAAACAATGTTGTATATTTTCCATTTTCTCCTTTTCTTTTCCCTCTATTATTTCGGGGTATATCTGATCGTGATGATGATATTTTGTAGTTCACTGTCGATATCTCTGCATGCTTCTGTTTTGTTATACAGTAGAAAAAGTGATTGAGATAGTTAAATTAAAAGATTAAAATATGTGGAAATCAAGGACTATCCCACATATTATTTTATTAATTAATTAACTAATTAATATTGACTGTCTCCCAATAAATCAATTTATAAAAAAATTATTATTCCTAAAAATCTTTAAATTATTTATATTTGTATTATTGTTGAAAATTATTTACAATTTCATTTGTCAAAAAAAAAAAAAAGATTTCAAAAATTTCTTGTGAAAAAAAGAAATTTGCCCAGTTTTCACAATATCAAAACCCACAACATTATTCATTTATTTGCCAAAAAAAATAAAAATTGTAATGCAAATCCAAAAATATTATTTTTCCTTTCCTAATAAAATAAATAAATAAATTTATTTTCCAATTTCTGTATGTATATAATTTGTGTTTGTCAACTCCAAATTCTTGAGTAGTCATTGAATTTGTGTAGTCCACATCCCTAAAAATAAAGAACCCACCCTGGAAAATAGACCCAAATAGATAGAAAGCTCAATAAAAGTCGGAGATCTCCTATCTCCTATCACCTTTCGGCTTTCTCTGCCTCATTTTCATTCGTATAATATTATGCTCTAACGATTGCATCAATTCGGACCTGCTCATCAAGGCATGGAACGACCAAAATACACTACTTGGATAATACGGCACTATGCATTACTCATTTACGTTACAATGTTCGAGTCGATAATTTTAATTGATCTATATTTTTATTGGAAAAAACATGATCACAAGGTATAAGATTTGATTTAAACACAAACACGTTGAAACATGACATGACACGTAACTACGTCAACCAACTACTCAAGTCATACTTCGGCCACTCTTTAACCTTGCTATTTTTTTAACAGGTCTAAGATAGCTAAGCTAGTTGTTTGAATTAGGTCGGCCTTTTTCACTAAGCTATTAAAATTGACTTTTGCATATTACTACTGATTATAACTTCATGTTTTTTTTTTTTTTTTTTTTACTGAACCTCGGTCTTAGTTACTAAGCCATGTCTCATTGGTAGCATTGATTATTACTTATTGCCATATTGGTATTAATCTATTTCGATCGACCAATGTTTTTGCTCATTGAAATGTGTTTGTTTCTCCTTCCTATTTCTCATCTAAACTACTTGCAATACAATTCAACATTGGGGCACTTGTGGCAGTGACGCTGAATACACCATAATCCTTCTAGACTTCTTCTAACTAGAGCTTTGTACATACATATGCTCCGTATAACCATGCTGCCATGCACATACAAGTGTAGTAAATCGTTCCCATTCAACAAGAAGATATCGTAAAATAGTATACATGATTATTAATTTCATTACCGAAAAACAGCCTAAACATCTAATCTCTACAACAAAAGCATAGCATAGCATTGCATTACATAACATACTTTAACATAACTGAAATTTACAGCATGAAAAAACTGATAAGAGCCGCGTATTTCAGACCTGAGTACAATCATTACTCCCCCTATTCTCCAATTAATCATGCAAATTTGTTTCGTACTTTCGCTCTCAACTCTAATGACCCATCAATTTTTCAAAAAATATAAAAAAAATTCATAAAACTTTTCTTTTTACAGGGTTTTGAATTGAAAAAAATGCCAAAACTGAACAGTCACATTCATTAGTACAGTTAGTTTCCACAAATCTCTCTCCCACTTTTTTCCCTCCTTCTTCCTCTGTTTTTTTTCAATTACTTTCACTTTCAAACATTTACTAATAAATATTAATATTCACTGTAATAATAATATTAAGTACAGTACATAAATCTTCCTTATTCAAACCCCTCCAAAACCCTAGTTTCTGTTTTTTTTTTTTTTTTCTTAAAGCTCCCATTTTTCTCTCAAATTCAACCAGAAAAATTAGCAAAACCCATCTATTTTCCCCTGTTAATTTTACAGAGTCCCCTGCTCTTTCATACCAAAAACAGTGGAATTTTTTTATTTCCAATTTAATTTAAAATTCCATGAAATGAGTGAAAACAAAGAAGAGAGAGAAAATTCCCCACATCATCAGAAAGAAGAGAGAGATTCAGCAACAACCCAGAAAATCAGGGGACCTCCACCACCTCCTCTGTTTCTTCCTTCAAGCTTTGATTTTGAACAATCAAAAAGGCCAAGATATGTTCATCAGCATCATCAATGGAAGCAACAAAGCCCATTGGGCCTTCAAAACCCAGAATCAAGCCCATCTCCTTCAAACCCACAAGCCCAATTAACTTCCCCTGATTCATCTTCTTCACCTTCACTTTCTCCTATCCCATCTTCTTCAACTGGTCAAGAACTCACCAACAAACAAGAAAACCAACAACAACAACAACAACAACAGCAACAGTTTAGGAAAGGGAAGTATGTAAGTCCAGTTTGGAAACCCCATGAAATGCTTTGGCTAGCTAAGGCTTGGAGGGCTCAGTATCAAGGAGATGGTTCGGGTTCAGGTTCCGGTTCCGGTTTCGGGTACGAAAGCGTAGGAGGAAGTGGAGGGAGAGGGAAAACAAGAGCTGAAAAAGATAGAGAAGTGGCAGAATTCTTAAACAAGTATGGAGTAAATAGGGATGCAAAAACAGCAGGGACAAAGTGGGACAATATGTTGGGAGAGTTTAGGAAGGTTTATGAATGGGAAAGAGGTAGTGAAAGAGAACAAGTTGGAAAGAGTTATTTTAGACTTTCACCTTATGAAAGAAAGATTCATAGATTACCTGCTTCTTTTGATGAAGAAGTTTTTGAAGAATTGTCTCAATTTATGGGCCCTAAAATGAGACATTCTTCTCATCTTACTTCTCTTCAAACTTGTTCTAGATCATTTTCTACTAGAACTACTAATCCTTGTGATCTTAGTCTTAAAGCTTTGCCTCCTCCTCACCCTTTTAGGGATGATACTTTTCCTCTTTCTAGCATGTTTTCAGGTATGTTTGTGTCTGTTTATTCTCTCCGTCTCATATTATTTAATTATTTATTATTATTATCATGTGTTGTAGATACTGTAATTTGAAATTGATAGAGAATATTACTCAAATATACTCATCATATCATGGATTTCGAAAAGAGTAATATTCTCTATGAATAACGAACTAGTAATGTGATAACTAAATCGGAATAAAGTTAATAATAACTTTACATTTTTTGTTTTTTTATAGAAAGGGCAATGCAAATGCAATCTTACTTGATGCATAACCCAAGGAATTCCTTTCTTGGGTTCGAGCCACATTCATCATCAAACGTAGGAATGTCACCCTTGTCAACAACGAGTGGATCGCCTCGAGTCGAGCTCCGAAGAATCGGAAGAATGAGGATGATATGGGAAGAGTGGGTGAGCTTGTGGGCGGAGGAAGGTGAGTACCATAGAGGAAGAGTAAAAGTACAAGGGTCTAACAATTTGTTGAATGCAGATGAACTTATTTACTTTGATGATTCTATGGTGGCTTCCTCTTTGGAAGCCTTTGAAGATGGCCCTCTAAAGGGCTTCTCCGTTGACCGGTTCGCCCCCGGTCAACAGCTCAAGGTGTTAGGAAGACGAAAGCACTCCTCTTCGCCTTCTCCTTCTATGTCATCAGCCGGTAATAACATACTTCAACACTTACTAAAACTACTTCATAATAGTGTTATTTGTTTACTTCAATGTTGCATACATTATAATGTGAGTATTTGATCATGTTTTTATTATATGTAGATTTTAATGAGAGACTCCCTTTTGCAATAGCAGCTGAACCCTCTATAAGATGTAAGTTCTTGATCAAATTTATACAATTCTATAAATTATTGGTTTCATTTTTTGTTTAATAGCATTACATTTTGATGGAATTGTTAAAGTTTATTACATGAAGTAACTTAGTGATTTATTATTACTTCTTAATTAATTATAGGGGAATTCCAAGACCCTACAGAGTATTATCTTGGCTGCCTAAGATCACCACCGACAACACTACCAACCTTATTTGAGCTATCATGGTACATACAAGAGCCTCCACCGGAGGAGTTTCGGCTTCCCCTTCGTAAGGACATATACCGCGATTTGCCTCAAGGGAGAGAGCTCTTCTTCACCACATCCTCAAACGAGCCACTAGATTGTAAGTCTTTCACCATTGACGTCCTAAGCTCGCTCATTCGATCAATCCCAAGCATAACCGCCTCGACCTCATCTAGCCGGGACTCCTACATTTCCCTATGGGATGATTGTATCAACCGAGTTGTGTCAAAATTTTGTCCATATGAGATGGTCTTTACAAGGAAGCAACTCACCAAGGCAATATCTTCCGAGTCAATTCGAGATCAATGGCCGAATTTAACAGGAATGGTGAAGAATTTTTGTCTTTGGAGAGGTGAGGAAATTGATCAACTTAGAGAATCACAACCTTTTATTGATCCTTCTTCAAGTATTACACAAAAAATTTCATGGACCTACAATGACCTTCCTTATGTGTTAGGGTACTATGCCCTTGGACACAATGTTACATTTTGTGCATTAAGCCTACCCTCATCTTCACCCTCATCATCATCTCAAGACTCGATCATAACCCGAACCGATCTCTACTCCCTAGACCTAACAAATCCTTCAGAGAGAGTCAAGTTACTAGTCCCATGTTGGAGAATTGGCATCCTATTAGCCTCCTTAGCCGAGAGGTGCACCAAGAATTGTTCCCAAAGCGACTATGAACGACTTGATCAAGGGGATGGTAACATAATTGAAATGACAATGACGACGACGACAAGATTCTACCCTAGCAAAAGAAGATGGCAAACAAGCAAGGAAATCTACTCGGTCCTAGACCAACGAGTAGTCCCACACGCGGAACACGTGATCTCCTACGACGAAGAAGAATTAGCCCTTGTGTTCAAACCAAGAGGAGTAAAGACAAAGCCAAAAAACACACAACAACTAGTACTAGCCCTAAAACAAGTAGCAAAAGCACTAGTAGCATTACATGACCTAAGTTTCATGCATAGAGGTTTGTCATGGGAAAAAGTCCTAATGGTAATGCAATCCAAGGCGGAGGAGTGGTTCGTGGCGGGGTTCGAGGAGGCGGTAGGGGCACCACAGATAAATCCATACAACGTATCGGAAACGGCGACAGCGGTGGCACCGGAGATGGGGAGAGGAGTGCATGGGGTGAAAGTGGATGTTTATGGAATAGGGAATTTGATAAAGACAAGTGAAGTGAAATCAGAAGGAATAGTAGGAAAACAGCTAAAAGAGTTGGAAGGAAAATGCATGGAGCAAAACCCAGAACAACGACCAACAGCAGCTGACTGTTACCATCACTTGTTGCAGATTCAGTCGTCGCTTTCATCCGCCGCCTCTGCTCGTTGCAATTGATTTCTGCAACAAATTTAATTCTAAAATATTACAGGTTTTTTTTTTATTAGAGTATTTTTATTTTTAATTTTATTTATTGATATCTATATTTGGGGAAAAATGTTTATGTGGGTTTGTGCCATTTGTCAGGGTATGTGGTAGAAAGAGGAAATACTCCTATAAAATTGCCTGTTCATTGTTGGGGGTATTTAGGGTACTTTTTATGCTAGGGTTTTATTTTTTGAGGGGTTTTCTTCAGAAATTTATTGGGATACCCTTTTTTTTTCCAAAAAAAAAAAGGAATTATTGGGAGGTAATTAATTGGATAATTGAAGCTAGAATTTAAGTGTAGGAGAAATGACGTGAGTCAGTGATTGTGACTGTTCAATAAGGAATTTTTTTTTTTTTTTGGTACTAATAATTATTACAGTAGTACTCTACTAATTTGTGAATCAATATATGTGTTCTACCATTTTAGGCTAGACTTGTTAATTAATTTTATTATTACTTGTTTGGATTATTACTACTTGTGTGTCAATTGACTTTTTTTTTTTTTTTTTTTTCTTTTGTGCATTTTTTGGTTTGGGATGTGTGTTTTATTTGAGAATGTGCTATTAAATTTTGCTTGAATATTTTGAGCCTTTTTTATTTAGTGAGTTCGGAGAACGGTAGTACGAGAGAGATCTTTCAAACCTAAAATTATAAGTAATATTATTACTTTGTAGGTTAGATCTAGTTGTCATATTATTAGCTTAAAGTACATTATACGAATTATGTTGACTTGAATATGATTAATTAATTCAAGACGTATTCTAACAAGTATATATAGGATGAAATTGTCAGACTAACCCATCTAGCATTGTTGGTGTTTGGAGATTAGTATGACATTAGATGTTACCTTCATAAATTATAATTAAATATTCAAGCACATTGTTTGTAGCTGACACATACAGTATATGTAAATCAAAGCTTGTTCATGTAGTAATTCAGACATGTAATAATTACTGCAAGCTAGAGATCATACACTGGTACTTGAGATGTAAAATCAAATTAAAATAGGAGTGACTATATATTATCATTTTCACCATAAAAAAATCATTTACACTTGGCTGGGTTTTTACAGATATATAACTAGTGTAATTAATTTCATATTATAAAGCTGAAGGAAGATTAATGACAACTGTTTCTTTTTTTCTTGTTTCTAATCTTCTTACTTGGTGTGCTTTGTATACGGTTGAATGTGATGTGGATAAAGTCTTTTCCAATGAAGGAGGTTATTAATAATTTGGTGCACTTGTACGTGAGTGTTAGATTAGTTGGCTTGTTTCATATTAAAAGTATTAGAAGCACGAAACATCTAACTTATAAGTCAAGTGAGTTACTATGCCTATTAAAATTACATTTTTATTATAAGTCAAGTGAGTTACACTGCCTATTAGAATCACGTTTTTATTTTAAGTCAAGTGAGTTACACTGCCTATTAGAGTCACGTCTTTTTAAGTCAAGTGATAAGTTAATGTGCCTATTAGAATCATGTCTTTATAAGTCAAGTGATCAATTACTGTGCCTATTAGAGTCACGTCTTACTAAAGTTTTGTTAGTGAACTTTTCTTCCATTTTTGTGGCTTTCCCTATCATTTCCTTCAAGGTACATTATATTTCTTGATCATCTTTTTTTAAACAAATCAATTCATTCATAAAATATGTCTTGACCATCTAGATTCTAGATATATACTTCTTTGTGTTATATTACAACTTTACAATATGCTTTCTTTTGAAAAGATTAGTAGTTGCATATTTTAGTAAGTAATCAATTGAATTATGGGAAGTGCGATGATTATCTAAACTTTTCCGTGACCTAATTTTATTCTTAAGGCTTTTATGGTATTAAAATAGCTCCAAATACTCTTTAAACTCCATTATCAAGTATTTTCCTTTCCGGTACAATAGTCTAAAACACTGTACTCTATTAGTTCAAATTACCCTACTTAATTTGATAATTATTTAAGCTATTGTACTTAGATTTTCATACTAATAAATTTATTGGCCTCATCTTCATTAGCATGCTTTACTTCACATTTATACCCTTGCGGCTAATTGACTACATATTCTTTATTATTCCCCTAGCTAATTAGACTATTGATTATTATAAAGAAAATTGCAAATTTAAAGGTAGTTACTATATAATTTTCTTCTTATTGTGAGGTGTAAAAGTTTTAATTTTTAAATCTAATAGCTTTTAAATTTTTATTCACCAACGAATAAATAAGTTTTTAAATAGTATATTATGTCCCTCTTATGAAACCCTAAATTTCTAGTGGTTGATTAATTTTTGGACTTGTTTAATTTGTGGCATTCTGGTATTTATAGAAAATGAGGACTGAATGTCTGAACTTTGAACAACAACTAAGGTCATCCCTTTAATTATAATTAATCAAATCTTTCTAGATTGAAACCAATTAGAGCCTATTTAGTTCAGCTTAATTTCAGTTCAGTTAAGTTCAGCTTAATTTCAGTTCAGTTTAGTTCAGCTCCAATTTCCTTCTCTCATAAAATATTCATTTTAGTTCATCTCCAATCAGTTCAGTTCAGCTTAATTCAGTAAATGTGAACAAACCCTTAGATGAGAAATATAGGATGGACAAACTAAACAATGAGATGCTATAATATTAAGATCAATAATGTATGATTTTGTAATTGCTGCTGAACTAATACTTACTTTGTGTTAATATTTTATTTTATTTTTGGTTAAAGGGAGCAGATTTAAATTATCATACAGAAGAGATCAAGAGAGAGTATTAGCCGTCTTACTTCCAAGATTACATTAACTACCATAATTGTGTTATTATGATCAACATGTTTTTACATTTTTTACTAATCATATAGTAACCTTGGCCATTTTTTACTAATACATAATCAAATATGTTTGTTCTTTATCTTGCTCCTTTCCCAAAAGAAGCAAATTTAGATGTGAGATGATCCCGAACTCCTTTCCATTCATCACCTACCCTCGAAACCTAATGATTATGGGTTCATATCGATTTCTCTCTAAAGAGATGAGAAAAATAGCAACCTTAGACCTAAGCTAGCTCACAGAAGGATGGTCAAAATTTTATGGATTAGTATGAAACTCAAATTGTAGGAACTAATTTAATTAAGGAGTATTGATTCATAAAATACTCAGCTCCATATCATGCTTAAATTTGTTTATTGTGGTTGCTTAGAACAAATTCGTTCTTTTACAAAAATGAAGCATATTCATTGTACAAATACAAATCTTGATCTTGAAATTAATTTTCACAATGCTCCTTCTGTGTGCTTTGTCGATCGGATATCGTAACCTTACATACGACCCTTAACACTAAATTTCTCGCAATGAATTACAATATCATTTCATATAAAGGAGCTTTGTTCAACTAGTTATGAGAAGATTGAGTAAATGTCTTACCAGTTACTAGCTTACTACCAAGTTATGTCATACTTTACGTTTTCTTTTGATAACAAATTTAATTATGACAAGATTGAGTTATAAATTGAAAAATACTAATGGTTAACCCCACGTTAAGACTCGAAGTCCGGGCTCAAATCCTAGTTGAATTTTTACAAAATTTATACTTTCTTTGTTCCCCCCTTTTTTTTAAGGTGCACCATGTACCCTATTATTGTGAGAGTTTTTTAACACACTATTTTCAAGGAAAACACCTGAAAAAAAAAACATAAAATATTGTTGACAACCTAAATGTACATGGGTACCTTGTTTATATATAGCTATGAGAAAGTATAGTCATTTGAGATCTTATTTGAATCACCTCGATATTAATTTTATTGATAATAACGTTCTAAATTTTTTACATGTTGTTATGTAGAGATACTAATCGTGAAATTGTCCGTTGGCAAATGTGATAAAATAAATTTGTCTACTAAAATAAACAAGAAATTCAAGATCGTCTCAAACAATTTAAGGTCTATTTGCCTATTTTTAAATTAGGCCCTGATGATTTTCACATGTCTACTTTTAAATTGAAATTATGCATGCTCTATAGTCTTAAACTCATTGCTATTAGCTTTTTTATTTTATTTTTTTACATGATGAAATACATAAAACTTATGTTCATATTAATAAGTTTATGAATTTGATTTTTTTTTTTTTTTGAAAGACATGAATTTGATTATTAAGTTACTCGTAATTCTGATTACTAGTTATAAAAGGTAAAAGAAAAAGTTGGATTGAAAATTTGAAATTAAGAAGACAACAAGGTCAAATCAACCTTTATTAATTTTATTATTATTATTATTATTATTTTATTATTATTATTATTATTTTTAAAAGTTCTCAAAGAGTGAAAGGCATGGTTATAGAGTGGGCTGATACGTGCTAGGTTGGATCAAAAGAATATTTGCTAGGCCTTTAAAGTGGATGGAGTCTTTCTAGTTTCTACTGGTTGATGCACACTTAGGATGCATGACACTTCATCCAACTGTCGTGTCCGTGTCGGACACCGTGTCAAACACCGATACTCGTGGGATACACGACGACACGTCTCGGACCATATCCTACTATGATATAGGTTGTTCAACTTTTTTTATTGAGAAGTTTTAAGTAGAGTACGATAAATAAGGCAATTGTTAAATGATATGGGTGCCTTCATATTGTTATATGATACTCTATAATCTTATGAGAGGACGAAATGACAAATATATGGTCAAATTCTTTTTTTTTTAAAGTATATTTTATGAATATTAACATCCCGTACCCGTGTCCCTTATTTTGAGATAGACGTTTTACCGTATCCGTGTCCGTACCCGTTCTTGTGCAACCTAGATGCACACTATCAAACCATTTCACAGTTTTCTTAGCTCCTTTTTAGTTGCGTACATGGAGAACGCCCATGAATCTTAGGATCTTGTTTTAAACAAAGCACGAGGTTCCTAGCTTCAATCCATACGTAAAACTAATACCAAGTATTAATGTTTTCTACCTTATTCAAGCGCTATTTTTCAAGCTTTTTTTGGGCTTGAAGATCAAGCTTTTTTTCATCTGTATTGAACCTACTTAAAACGATATTGGCCCAACATTGCCTCGGACAAAAGTTTTGTTGGCCTTGGTCAAAGGCTCAAATCCATGTGCCTATTATATTCTACAGCCACTTGTATTATATCAATCCATCACCACATTCACTAGCATGCACATAAACCTAAAGATAAAACAAACCAAATTCTTTTTAATTTTTAATTATTATTATGCCCACTTAGATCTCAAATATCATTGAAACACATGATCCACTTTACAACTAGTCTAACTACAGAGTATTGAGTAATAATTTAGTAAATGCTATTCTCTCTGTCCCTTAATTAAATTTCAACTTCTAACATTTATTCCTCACATAATAGAGAGATATAGAAATATAATTAAGATATGTTCTCTTACGTTGAAATTCAGTTCAGTTTAGTTCAGTTCATTTCAATTCAGCTCCTAATTTCCTTCTCTTATAAAATATTCATTTCAGTTCAGTTTTATTCAATTCAGTTCAGTTTAGTTCAGCTCAATTTAGTTCAGTTCAGTTCAAATCAATTAAGTTCAGTCAATGAGAACAGACCCTTAGTCTAACTACAGAGTATTACGAGTAAGTAAAAATTTAGTAAATGCTACAAGTTTAAAACTATCAACCTAACTTACTATTAACAACGGAGATAAGTCATAATTAAATTGTATAATATATTATCGGAGACTTGAGCGCCCGCCAAAGAAGATCTTACCCCCACTTGCTTGCCTCCACTCCATATCAAATGAATTATTGAACCTTGGAGAAGAAGCAAATCACCTAATCTCCCACTACTATAAAAAACCTCACAATATCATTTCTCATCTCATTTAACCCCCTTCTTTTGCTCCTTTAGG